CTCCTCGGTGCAGTCAGCATTATACTATCGCAAAAGAGACTCGCTCCTAGCCTTCGCCTTGAAAATTCCACCGGCCGAAAACTACTGCGCCGACTATAAGCAAGTGGTGTGAAAATTCATCCTATTCCTGAGCAGAGAACACTATCTTCGATACAAACATATTTCTAGCTCGATTCTTGCTTTCCACTGCTTTGCTGTTTGTGGTATAATTATTTTGTTATTATTATTATTTTATGATAGTTCTGGTGTTATGAAGTGTTACTGATAAAATTTACAGGCACGCACGGCACAGTACTTAACTCTTGTGGACAGTACAACAGAAACAGGGTGTATAATAATAATAATAATAATAATAACAGGCAGTGTAATGCCTATTTACAATGTAAACAAGAAAAATTAAGGTAGAGAAACAAGTGTGTAACTGATTGAACATAACGGTGACGATAGTATGATGATCAAAACACGTTTGTAGAATAAATTTATAATGTGTGTAGCCGATGCAAGTTCGTGAACTGCGTTATTGAAAGCTATGTGGTATAAAAAGGACAAGACAAATTTTCCTTATTATTAGGTTGGGACATGACCCAACCTAACCCAATCAATGATATAAAAACATACGAAATTATGTCTGACAATTGTAGATGATGTTTGTTAACTTTCAACATGAATAATATAAAGATCATGTTCAATGACTGAGAATTTGGTTTATGCAGGTACAACATTTTAAATCCACACAATGCTGCTCAATCATGCATGTGTCTCAAAGAAATTAAATTATTACAGGTAAATACAGAAACAATGGTCAGAGAAAACATATTTCAAATATGCCTCCTTCGTTCAAAATGGAGCAGAAGGTGGATTTTTAAAGCAACTAATATCTTATAATGACAGGTTTTCCTTTTATTTATTTTTCTCCTGCCTTGTTTTCCTATAAAAATGTATCACACATTCACCAAAGAGATATATTTCGCTATCTAGACACTCCGTCGTTGCATGTAAATTTTATCACATGCTGGCCGTATTGCATAAAGCATATGGACTATAGCAAATAGGCCACAAATTATGTTTTCACAAATCTCCCATTGCCACAATGATGTTCGACAGCGCCGTTCTGGCGTCGCTTTCCTGGAACACTTGAAGAACTTCCATTGCCTTTTGTGAGTGTTTCTTCTGAAGTTGCTTCGTCTGAGAAATGCCAGGACCTTTTGACACTATACTATGGACCTGAAACAATTGAGATGTGAAAATTTAATATGTGCTGTTTAAACACACTGTATTTGTAAAGACATTTTTATCGCACTTGATCCATAGTATTTTAAATATGTGGTTCCTCATAACCCCATATTCTAAGGAAATTTGAGCATTTTATTATTTATTTGTAGTATATTTAATGACACTGTCATTAACTCAGACTATATATCATCAAATGACAGGACGATTAATGAATAATGAATAAAATGGAAGGGGTGTGGAAGGAGTGGTCATTGCCTAATTTAAAGTTCTATCCTGACATTTGCTTGGAGGGACTGAGGAACACCATGAAAAATTTCAGTCAGAATAGCTGGTCTCTAGGCTGTGTCTGAACTTTTTGCTGGTTTTATTGTAATGACAAAATGCATGTTAGACTGGATGTAAAGTGTGCGTAGGCTGCCAGTTAGACCACACCGCTGTAAATTCATTACATCACACAGCAATTTTAAGACACTACAACGAAGTTGTAAGATTTGAGGTTTTCACAGCGTTGAGTATGAAGATTTCTGTCTTCTGGGTTGAATATTCATCGCCCTGATGACGGAGGCAGTATGACCTCTGAAACGTTGGTAAACATCGACCAGACTACACAGCGCAACAACCCAGAAGACAGAAATCTTCATACTCTGATGACGGAGGCAGTATGACCTCTGAAACGTTGGTTAACATCGACCAGACTACACAGCGCAACAACCCAGAAGACAGAAATCTTCATACTCTGATGACGGAGGCAGTATGACCTCTGAAACGTTGGTAAACATCGACCAGACTACACAGCGCAACAACCCAGAAGATAGAAATCTTCATCGCCCTGATGACGGAGGCAGTATGACCTCTGAAACATCGGTTAACATCGACCAGACTACACAGTGCAACAACACAGAAGACAGAAATCTTAAAACGAAGTTATTATTGGGTTGCTGTTGGTATCAGTAAATGAGATTTTGTTTCACAGCAGAACAGGATTCCATAATTCTGTTGAAGTTAAAAAAAACCATTCATGCCTGTCACATGGACATACAACTTTTGTACAATTAAATTATAATATTGCCTAAAACTGTACAATTTTACAGTACTTCATCCCTTTGTAGATGCAGACCATAGTGAAAAGAAAAGCACCTGTAGTGCTTAAAAAAATATTTTTCCATCGTTATAATACTTTTTCTTCTGAAATTTCAGAAATTGCAAGTGAAGTGATGTCAGTAAAGTGAATGGCTAAGGCTGGATGATGGGTTCAATTTCTGGCAGGTAAAGAGGGGATATTTCTCCTGGCAACTGAACCAGCATTGGGCCCACCCAGCCTCCTATCCAACAGGCATGAGGAGTTCCTTCCTTGTCGACAAACCAGTTGAAGCATGAAGTTCACCACTCATCTCCATCTAGTAATAAGGTAAAGAATGGAAATATATATATTCACACACAGTAAGAAAACGGGACCATTAATTACTGTTATTTTATAGCTCCAGATTGCAAAAACCTGGTGTCAACTAACAAAATATATAATTTGGTTCTACCTACAGTAGGGCCCCGCTTTTCGGCGATCCGCTAATACGGCGCTCAACAGCTGAGTCAGAGAAGTGCGTCCGGCGCCATTTTCTCGTCGCTGATTCAGTCTGTTTACAACTTTTGTGTGCTCCGCGTCTCTCTGTATTTCTGGCAATTTTTCAGTTATTACAAACTGTATATTTATATAATATTTTTGTGTTACTACAGTGTAATTACAATGGCGTCTAAGGGTAGTAGCGATAAAAAGAGGAGTCGTAAGCCTCTTACTTTAAAAGCCAAGTTAGAGATGATTAAACTTCGTAATCTTCTGAACCATCACCAAAACCAATAAGATTCGTTGAAGAGTCAGATGATGAAGATGTGCCATCTCCTTCATCCTTCCTACTATAAGCATATCAATTTTCAAATTTATATTCACCAATCACTATAAGCTGAGGACAATGTGTGTATTACTGATATTCATTTTACTTTCATATCGTTTTCTTAGGCCTAGCGCTATTGTGCACTTACTATATGATAGTGTAACATCTTATTAGGCTTTGATATGCATTTGCAAGTGAAAAAAGGCAAAGATCCGCTTTTCGGCGATTTTCGCTTTACGGCGGGGGGCTGGGCCCTAACCCGCCGTATAAGCGGTGCCCTACTGTATATGGTATATAAGATTGGGAAGGTCTGTGCTTTGCAATAAGCTGACATTTCGGAGGTATTCTCCATTGTGATCCCATGCCACTATCTGGAACAGTTTGTGCCAACATTGACCGTAGGGTTGCAGGGTCCAGTGGAGATCCAACCCATCATGTCAAAACCCTGCAAGGGCAGAAAATAGATTTCCAAAGCCTGGTGGGCTATACACAGGATAGAAAGCCCAGGGGAGCTGTAAATTATTGTTTACTGGATTAATGCTTGATACTCCACAAATCATAGTCCTGATTTTACAGATACTAATGTTATCTTTTGCGTCAGAATACATTGTTATTAGCACTTTCACTCAACTTAACAACTCCGATAATTTGCTTGGCGTTCTGTCCTTGTATAACCCCATACTCAAGAAGCTCACGTCTCACACTCCAGCCGCCTTATAAAGGGGTATCGTAAGTTCAAGAAAGAGCAGGAAAGTTCCACAGAATTCTATAATATGGAAGAATATGACAGAGAGAACACAAGTATGTGTGAAAGAGCTCTGGCGTCACATTCTGTCAGTGCCAGCCAACCTTAACAACACACCACTGATGAGACGTGGGGTAGCTAGTGTGTGCAAAACTATATAATTGTAAGATTTGAGGTTTTCACAGCGGTGAGTATGAAGATTTCTGTCTTCTGGGTTATTGCGCTGTGTAGTCTGGTCGATGTTTACCAACGTTTCAGAGGTCATATTGCCTCCGTCATCAGGAGGATGAGTATGAAGATTTCTGTCTTCTGGGTTGCGCTGTGTAGTCTGGTCGATGTTTACCAACGTTTCGGAGGTCATACTGCCTCTGTCATCAGGGCGATGAAGATTTCTGTCTTCTGGGTTGTTGCGCTGTGTAGTCTGGTCGATGTTAACCAACGTTTCAGAGGTCATACTGCCTCCGTCATCAGGGCGATATAATTATTAATAATACAAATCTGAAGAACATACCTTGTCATAGTCCACATTCTGCACAGACTCTGCCCCCTTATCAATCTCACTGAATAAATTAGGATCATGCTCCAAATGAAACAGAACTGGAGCTGATGTGAGGTTGAAGACTGAACCAGACACATACTGTGATCCAGCAATGAACGGCTCTAAGTCAAGACAGGCCTGTATAGACAAAATATATAACAAAACATAATATATTTCCTAATGTTATATAAAAGTTAATTCAAAGACTGTGTTTATCGTTAAATGTCCGAATACAGTTCGGAAATGATAATACAATATTTGTACCTGCCACGCCAGAGCAAGATGCTTCCCAAACTTGTAGCCCTGTTCTTGCAGCTCTGTCCCATGGCCAGCAAGTTTGAGTGTCCCTTGACATGACTTTCCAAGAAGGCTTCCTGCAGAAAGAACATTACGAAGTGTCCAGTCTTCAGCAGCATCAGACACTCCATCTGGGGATGGCAGAGGATTGTTTTGTTGATCTCGGCGACCTACAAACTCTCCTTCGGCTAAATCACGAATAGCACTACTCATAAGTTCAACCAACTGTAAAGAGGAATAATTTAATTATTAATGATCTATTACTGAAAATATTTTAATTCCTCTAGTTAAGTGGCTTGTGTCAGGTGAATTATCAGCAAATTTTTTCAAAAATATATGTGTGATAGTTTCACCTCTAGCACATAAGAAAATGTGAAGTTTTCTATGGAGGTCACTTTCATCACCATTTTAACAGTCTGTGATAAACTGCCACTTTTTCTGCATATGATAATCCCTCATCTTCATAGTTCTGTAATTTGAAAACTGTGAACACACAGAAACTTGGTTTCTTCTATTTCAAAGTGATGAAAAGGTACTTTCATCTCATGTTAAACAAAGTTATATGTGTACATTACAAAGCCATATACAAATCTGCAAATAGTATAAATTTCCAAAATTGTTCTAAAATAACACAAAGCAGTAAAAACACAGGATGGAGCCTAAAATGCACTAAAGAGAATTGCCGTTAAAGGAGTATTTTTATTACTCTCAAGTTACCTTATGGTTGGCTTCAAATGTGTAGAAAAATTAATTAAAATTGTGGTGTAATAAAATCTACTAGGGTTTTCAGCTGTTTCAATTTAGAATGGAAGTCCAATATTGCAAAGACCTATGCCTCTATCATCTGAGAATGATAGCGGACTCCAGGTCAGAACTAATACAGCTGACTACCTCAGAAGATTCTGTGACCTTTAGTTTCTCAGAAAGCTCCAAGTCTGTGATTTCGAGCTTTCTAATCGTTTAAGATCTGAAAAGTGCCATCTGTGAAAATTCTGAAAATTATTTAAAATATTCTCCCAATATCATATACTCAAAATATAAATGTAGTGAGCACAATTTGTTCCATTAATGTTTGGCGATGTTTCAAAGTTGTGTATTTACCATGCAGCAAATTGTTGGCCACTTTAATACAGTTTAAGCCTGTATGGCTAATATAGGCAGCTACTTAAACAAAAAATACAACAATTTGAATGCTTTATGCTAATACAAAGCTGTAACATCATAAATATATAACAGATAGTGAAACAAGTTCTTCTGTTTTCT